CGGTTGCTGTATAGATATAGAGTATTTCCTTTTTAAAACCGAGTACACACTATATGAGCCTATGCTGAAAATTCCTTAACTCGATCAAGGAGGGATAAACAAAATTGTCGTAATAAGAAATAGAAAATATTTTCTTTTTGTTTTTTTAGCGCTTTTAGATTACCCGACGTATGCGTCAGTTTAATGCAAGTTTCGTGAATGGTATTAAGTCGAATAATTTTTGCCTTATCTTTTCTATAACTCAAACACTGAAGTCGACCTATACACGAAGCATATGATAAATATTATTTCTTCGTCAAATATTAAGGATTAAACTAGATAGACTTAATACCAATTATAGCAAGTATATGACTTTTTTTTTTTTTTAATTATGTTTGATCGTATATTGAATATTTTACAGCCACATCTGGTCTGGTACTTTGTTTTTACACCTACAGGTTCTTGATAAATCCCAAAGAAGAATCTGCAACGGTATCGGTCCTGACCTGGCATATTGGTTTCAATCGCTTTCCCCACCACTGTAACGTACCTGTCCTGTGTCGTTTCTATAAATACTTTCATAGTAATTCTTCTAATGGTCTTTCCTCATTTTTCTAACAACTTCCTGAATTTAAGCGCAGCACTAGATAGGTTTCATCATTTTATTGTTGAAATTGCATAATATAACCGTAAGTTCTATTCAAATACTTTCTCCCCTCGCCCTTCTTGCTTATAGAAATCTTTCCCGTCAACTACGATCTTCAAATATATAAATGCAACTCCAGTCATCATCTCTTTCCTTAAATCCTGGTCTTTTATTGTCTTCTCTCTCTGTAACATTATCACAGTTTCTTTCCTTTGTAGTAACCCCTTTGCATCATAGTGGCTTTATCACCTTGCTCAGAATGAAATGATTAAAAGAAATGTTGATCCATTTACGCAGCTTTGTGAAAGATGCCTCATTTTCCCATAATGCACCCTTATCGCACCCGACCGGAAGTTACTTTCGGCTACTCAAAAGTCCGAAAGCGTTACCGCGGAAAACAGAACGAATGCCGTTAATTTCCGATGACACAGCGTTTTTCAGAGAACGATACACAAAAAGCAAAACAAATGAAACATAAACATACACAAGTCCACCTAATGACCAGAAACTACTTTATATACACATGGTGTCCAAATGAATCCCATGTGTACAGTCAAAATGCGGAAGGTAATTTTTAGTCATCAACCAAAAAATATTGCCAACCGGCTACGATGCTAACCGCAGCCGACATAAACACAGCCGATTTCTTCCACCAAATAACTTGGCCTACTACGGGGTAGAGTGACGTGCTCCACCTTCACCTGTGCGATCCTCGTCGCTGAGCGCACGAAGCAGTCAACCTCAGCAGCAGCAGCAGTTGGCCGGACCAACTTTAGCAGCAGCGAGCCAAGCCAACCACAGCGGCAGCAGCAGCGGGCCAAACCAACTTCAGCAGCAGCAGAAGCCGAACATTATATGCGAAAGTCCTTTTCAGGACTACCTGGCCACGTTATATGCGACAGTCCTTTTAAGGACTAACTAACCGTCTTATATGCGATAGTCCTTTTAAGGACTACCAAGCTGCGTTCTTAAACGACTGTCATTCTAAGGACGAGCAGGCTACCCCAGCACTGACTACGCTGATCCTCTCTCTTCAACAACGCCGACGCGCTTCTTTACAAAGGGCGAACATCCGGGGATCGACTGGACCTCGAATACTGCTGTTCCATCTGCCTGCCTCCGAGCTGCCGCCTTGAACTCAAAACGATCCTTCAACTGACACTCCCTGACTTCACGATCGAACTACACCAAACAATTCCTGTACGTACATTTGTCCAGTTCGACAAATAAATCCGACGTTTGTTATTCTAAACCTCTGCCTTTGTTCCTCATTCTCTTAGCTGTTCACACCTTTCTTCGTAAAAGCTTGCTGGGGCGACATCCTTTTCGGCCCCGCAACACCCTCTTTCTCCAAGACGCACCGTCACAAGCCTCTCAGTACTCTCTTGTTACTTCCTTCAAACGAGTTCTATTCTTCAATGTTACCAGTGCAACCAAGTCTCGCTTTACTATGTCCGCAGAATTGAATCGCCTCCGTATTCCTTTGGTAAGAAATGTTCCATTCCGAAAGCTTCTTTCCAAGAGCCGCTACTTTGTGGAACAGGTGCACCTCGAAATATCTGGATGACTAGTGTCTGGGAGCTGATCTCTAATCTGACCTCTCACAGCTCAACGGGGAAAAGACTGGCTTGTATTAGTCAATGTCTCCAAAACAGAGCTAGTAACTATTCATCACCGTCGAATAGATCCTATACCTTTTTCAATCCTGATGAGAGGTCATAGATTCCTTGTGATGTGCGCTTATGTGGTCTAAAGTTCACTCCAGACATCAAATGGAACTCGTAGATTCGTACAATCGTTAAAGATTCTGGAAGAATGGTCGAATCCAGAAAGATACCAAACTTCTGATGTCATGCTCTATCTTTATAAGAGTCAGATCAAACATAGGATGGAGTATTGCTACCATATTTGGGCTAGTACTTCGCAGTCCTCGTTGTCCGGCTTCGACAGAGTTCTTGTAGTGGGGAATTATTCCCAGTAATAGCGATAGATACGTGTCTGGGGGACTACGATTGCATGGTGGAGCTAATATATTGCTCACGAAATATCTTGTCCGCTACTATAAGAACAATTAAATTTCTCGCGAGATATCTCGTCAGCTGCACCAAGAGCAAAGAAATTTCTCGCCAGATAAGTCGTCAGCTGCTATAAGATCAATTAAATTTTGGGCGAGATATCTCGTCAGCTGCTGCAAGGGTAAAGAAATTTCTCGCATGACATCACGCCGCCGGCTTAAACGGAAATAAGGCATGAAAATCAACATTATGGAACCTTTTCTGTAGTTTTAAAATCTGAGAAAAGATTTTTACGTGTCACACTATTTAGCTATGGTAATTTGGCTAACTAATTATCCATAGAAATTAAAAATCAGGAAAGACTTAAGGCGAGAAAGAGCTATATCGAAAGATAGACTGATCGACGTTAAAAAAAGATTTTATTTTATTTACGAAGAAAGATACTTTTCGCACGAGACAAAAAATCCATAAGAAAAAGCGAGATTTGAGATACTGTCAAAACTGATTAATGTCATGTTAATGGAGTGACGCACCAAGAGAAACAGAATTCAGAAAGAAAAACAAAGCCAACCGACACATGCGGCCATAAAAAAATTTCGGCTGAAACCACCACGGAGAATAGATATTAGTTTTCTTTCAGAGATATCATTTAATTTTAATTCCTGGGTCCAACGAAGGGAGCCATCTGGTGTGTGTTAGAATTCTGGCATGAGAAAGAAAATCGTATTATTATTACTTATTCAAACTGTTGACGCCAGACACAGCGTCGTCAAAAATGGGCATTTGGTAATAAGAGGATTTTAAGCCATGATAAAAATAAAGAATTTGATTCGTAGGTAAAATACGGACCTACCAGCTAAAAGTTAACTTAACAGAAGAAACCAGGTGTTGGGTTTTGACAGTGATTGATGAGTCGGTAGAGAGACCTGACTAAATGAATTTTGGGTGTCCACGAAAGAAAGATTTGAATTATTTGGCAATCTGGGATTTGTAAATGTTTTGGCAGAAGGAAAAAAAAGATAAAATGGATTTTGTAAACAAAATTCTGGATAATAATTTCAAGAGGGCCAGTCTAGCCACGCCCACACTACCGAGAGATCATTAGTCAAGTCGTAGCATGGGTGATAGGCAGGGGTGAATGTATGAAAAAGACGGAGAAGTTGTTAACACCCACTGAGGGGATTGGTATGAGATACCAATGTGAAAGAGGAAGAGTCTAGGAGGATAACTCCTCCGACCTTCCCTCACGGACGGGGGAGAAACCACTGAAATGGAAAGTGATTAATCTTCCAAAAATGGGAAGTAATTAATTTGCTGGGAATCGAGAATTATCGGGAACCCAAACCACGTCAGGCCCCCACACCGGGTTTTGGTCGGTATGCATATAAACGAACGTCTCGAGGCAGCTGACCAGTCTGAGTTAGTTAGTTCCATGAGTTCCAGCAGTTGATTCGCAGTTGCAGTTAGGCCGTTACCTCGCAGAAGCTGACCGGTGGGTGTCACAATAATATTAACAGCTGATGATGAATTTAAAAAAACTTATAAAATCTTTTTACGTGATAATATTAACTGCTGCTGATGAATTTAAAACAACGTATAAAATCTTTTTACGCGATAATATTAAGAGCTGATGTTGAATTTAAAACAACGTATGATAATAAATCGTTGTGGTCAATCAATATTTGATTTATTTCCGTGATAGTGTAAATCAATGAACATGAAAATATTAACAGAATATTTTATACATTGGTTTCTTAATGAAGTATTGATATCCAACTATGAAACATTGATTTCTTTCGTTGAATGACGAAAGCGAATCCACTTTAAAATTTTGTAATATGCTATCATCCTGGTAGCTCAGTCTTTAAAAAAAAGAACAACAAAAAAGACGTGAAAAAAAAAGCCATAAAAATAACTTTACTGAAGAGTTCCATTTCGCTAGCGTTGTGTTTGTGAAGCGGGTGTAGTGATACAAAAGTGATCGTTTTTTTTCCCTGTCAGAGCGCTCAAACGACACCAGCATAAAAAAAAAGAAAAAAACAAACAAACAAACAAAAAAACAACCCAGAAATGAACATTAGTTCCGAGAAAATATGAGTTTGGTTGATTTGGATCGACTCATTTTTTTACGCAACTGGTGAACCGAAAAGCAAAATGTACGACAATTAGTATGCAATTAATACGGTACAGGCATTGTTGAAGGAAAAACCTCTAGAGATTTGATAATATAAAAAAAAAGATAGAAAATAGCCGCTGGTAAATAGTGCAGAGCGGAGCAAAAACAAAGAGGGATTAATACTGGAGTGATACGGCTAGAAGATAGAAGATGCAACAGGAGAGAGAAGAATGATATGAGGAAAATGCACGAGGCAAACATCAGTTACTCCAATCTATCTATCTATCTATCTATCTATCTATCTATCTATGTCTGTTCATTCATTCATTCATTCTTTCTTTCTTTCTTTCTTTCTTTCTATGTCTGTTCAATCTATCTATCTATCTATCTATCTATCTATCTATCTATCTATCTATCTATCTATCTCAGTCTATTCCAATCTATCTATCTATCTATCTATCTATCTATCTATCTATCTATCTGTGGATGCGCGGTGGTGTAATGACTAACGTTTCCGAATTCCAGTCGAGTTATTTGCATTCATTTACACACAAAAACCCATGGAAAAGGTATGAATCCATCACTTCTCTTCCCCAGCCATGGTTAAATAGCATGGTTTGGTAGACGTTCTAGAAGGAAAACTGAAAACAAGCCTGGATGGAGTTGGGTTTTGTCAGTTTTGAGTTGGGCTTGGCCAAGACACGACACTACTGCTCCAGCAGCAGTACATATTGTACCCCTACGCCTTGGATTAAGAAATTAGAGATCCGAGTTCGAATTTCAGTCGAGTTTGTTACATTAACTTATGCGCAAATATTATTGGAAAAGGTAAGAATTCATCTTTCCCCACCACATCTATGGGTAAGTAGCAAGACAGACTGGTCCTTATAGCCTTATTATTTTGATAATAATTGCGTTCTGTATGCGATATATCAAAATCTGAGTAGAATACTTTTATCGAGCCTTTGACTATCTCTAATTTTATCTTATTAAAATCACTTCCCATTTTGAAATCATTAAAGTTATCTCCCTTTGGAATTTCTGATTTTTTTGCTGTCATAACGAAGTTATTTTCTCAATATGCATTTTCCTAATAGAAGTAGGGAAGGCCTTTCTTTTTCTTTTTTAAATATACAGGGTGTTCTTAAAAAAATTGACATCATTTTATACTTTAATATCATGGCTAATTCTTGCTCAAATGATTTCAAATTTTAACAAAATGTGTAAAAACTAAGTTGACTGTGAGGACTTATCTCAATGAGAATCAACCAGGAATAGGAATCGGGCGTGCCACTGATAATGACAATGTGCTGTTGAAATTGTCACCAAGTTCACCTGACTTTACAGCTTGTGATATTTTTCTATGGAGCTATGTGAAAGAACAGGTCTATATCCCCCCTCTTCCTACAAGCCAGGAGTAACTTAAGCAGAGAATTACCGAGGTGCTGGAGAATGTTACGCAAGACATGCTACATCGTGTTTGACAGGAGCTGGACTAGCAACTTGACGTGTGTCGTGTCACTGGTGGTGTGCATATTGAACATTTGTGAAGCTTTGTGAAATCGGTTATAAAATTTATATTCGTTAGAATATCTTATACGAATTTTATTTGTTTCTTTTATTGTTCAACATGAAGCCTATTTAATTCCGTTTGCCTGGCATATATACTTATTCAGATATTCATATTTTAAATGATATCAGTTTTTATGGGAACGTGCTGTACAACACTGTCTAGTCTATTCGTTTCTATCATGGCTAACGAGAGTTTCTCATCTCTGTCCGCCCTCAAAGAAAGAACAATATCAAGGTTATTCAAATTAGGTATCGTCCATTGCATGAATTTGTTGACACTAACTTCATAAAACCCTTTTCGATTTCAATGAATTCTTTCGGACATGCTTGTAGGTTTCAGTGCTTGAAATAAGAAAAGTATACTTACAATCAGAAAGAGACAGTTGAAATTTCTGTGACACATAGTGAGAAATGAAGGTATGGAGAATTTAACACTGACATGGCATGCTGAATGCAAGAATTTGATTGATTTATTGGTTTTACGGCTTATCAAACTTTTGAAGGTTATTTAGAGATAGAAAATATTTTTAGATTGTAAGAAATTTTTAGCACCATCTACCATAAACTTTCTTTAAACATAATAACTCAAAAACAAATGCTTATATAGACTTTTGTCATTGTTTTGGCGTGAGGAATCCCCCCCCATATTTGTAAAAGTATTTTTGATATACCATATATATATATATATATATATATATATATATATATATATATATATATAGAGAGAGAGAGAGAGAGAGAGGATAGTGGCATCAATTGAGGAATCGGAGAACCGGGTTCGAATTTCAGTCGAGTCCATTACATTCACTTACGTGCTAATAAATACCCTTGGGAAAAGTATTAATCCTCTTCTTCCGCCAGTTATGGGTAAATAGCAGGACAAACTGGGTCCTATAGCCTTAGATGGCAACTAGTCTATGAGAAGGACAACTCAGAATTCAAAACCTGCGGAAGGTAGTTATTTTCCAAGCGTAGCTTACATGTGGCACAGGGCCGAAAGTATGGGGCACCCAGTGAGGATCAAACTCACTACCCAGTCGTAATTGTTCTAGCGAGACAAGTTTGCTAACCATTACACCACTTCAAGGTGCCTCTATCATTTTCGGATACAACAATACATATATTTTCGTTGTCCTCTTATTACTGAGAGAAAAAACAAGAACAACATCTATTCCATACCTGAAGATGTCTGTAGGAACAGACGAAAGCTTGCAGTAAAAATAAGAACTAATGCGGCAGAAATTTATTGAAACAAGGATCTTTTCATTCATAACGGATTCGGAGGTTTTTGTATATTATTTGAATTGTTTGCGACGATGGATTTCCCGCCAATTAAATCATTAACCTTTGCATTTGTTTTTGTGTGAATAATTCATGAATATATATATATATATATATATATATATATATATATATATATATATATATATATATATATGTTTCATTAAATAATATAGACAAGTGTTGTCTATTTTATGTAAATTATTTTCATAACGTCTGATAAGTTAATAAGCTTAATAACATTATCATTAAATGAAGAAAGGAATTCACAATATTGATACATATTTTTTAATCCAATCTAAGCTTTCGGCTTACATAAGCCATTATCAAAGATGACAATTACAGTACAATATATTAAGCAATACACGGAAAAGAATGTGCTGATAGTCTGTTTATGTTTACATGGATGATTTCCAAGCAATGATAATCACGTGCATATAAGACGCTGGAAGCGAAAATCGCACCGCAGCTCATGATGTCACACATGGCCACGCGACAGTGAATTCGAGAAGTATTAAGTATGGGATGCCGTTGGTATAAACCAATGGCTTCTGTTACCAATTATAAACATTTAAGAATATTTGTGGAGATTTCATAGTTTATTTTGTTCAGGTTAGGTTTCAACTGTTTTATGTATATAGCTTCAAGAATTTTTAGTTTTTCATGTTAAAGTATAATTGTGTTTTCAACAAGGATTTTCCGGAATTGTGTATGCGGCACCAATGTAATACATTGTGCTGTTGTTTGCACTTACCTTGGCTTTATATATTATATTCGTTCGTTGGCAATTTCCCTGGAGTGGACATGTTGTTCTATTTCTGCAGTTGCATTGAGGTTCCTTGGTTGCATTATTGTAGGTTGTTATTTTTTGTTATGGCTTTTTATTATTTGTGTTATATTTTTTGTGCAGCTGTAACAGATTTTAACGTTATTTTTGTTAAATATTTATGCTAATGGGTTTGTTTCATAGAAGTGCTTTTCTATTAAGTTTAGGAATGTCCTACCTATGTTTGTTTTGACGGTTTTGTTGTATAGTAGATTAAACGAGATAATATTTCTTTTTCTGTTTTTGCGTTTCGGTTGTGGAGGTGTGTATTGTACAATACAAGGGATTTACATCAGTCATTATCGGAAAAAATTACCAGAAATAAAGAATCTTGGAGCCATTAAATAACCCATTGAGGTTGATATGCCGTAGACTAAACCAAACTAAATCAAACCAAACCAAATAAATCTCTTTAAATGAAATTCTTTGAGAATGCTAAACCAAAATGTTATAAATTTCAAATTTCATGACTCACTAATTAATCTTTCCTTATTAAAATTGAAAGCGCGTTTCAGAATTATATTATTTTCTAAAATGCGGTCTGAATTATAAAAACAAAAGTTGAGAAACACTGAGCTAACTAGTAGGATATGTATCAGTAAATCATTATCCAAAAGATTCTTACTACCCCAAAATATTTCCTAGCTTTAAATAACCCGAAAAAGGTTGAGAAACCGTAAAAAAAAACGAACCAATCAAATCAGTAAGAGAAATATCTGAAAAGCAATAATATTATCATTTTTTTGTTTTGTTTTACTTCTGAAAACTTCACACGAGGTGACACGAATAACAAACTCGGATAGAGATATATAACACGAAAATGTCTCAAATAATTTTACGTTGAAATAAACACCGGACAAAATAAACAAAGAAAAAATTATTACCATTAGAGAGAAAGACTTTACTCCGAAAAAAAAAGCAGATGAATGAACAGACAGAAAGAGATGAGGTTGCGCGCTCTCCTCAGTGAATTAATGATGTCTACTGGGGCCCGAAACTTTGACACGACTTTCAGCAATGTGTGTTGCTGTTTACAAGAATAGATGGATGGGGTGTTTGGGTTTAAAGTGGAGAGATTGTGCGGAAATAGCAGCTGCTCTTCATCGCGAAACGGAAACGTCAATCAAACTGTCAGTCGAATTAATCGATCAGGAATAGAAATTACTTAAACGAATGATTGGTTATTGGCCAGTTTGAAAATCATTCACTTTGAGAATACTTTGTTTTTTTTCTTCAAATTCATTCATTCTTTTCTTTCTTTCAATTTTTATCGGCTTTTTTTTTTTCATTTTTCTTTCTTTTAATCTTTTTTTTTTTCTTTCTTTTTAAAATTGTCTTTAAATTCGTCTTTTTTCTTTTCCGAATTATTTTTTTTTCTTTCTTTCTTGCTTTCTTTTCTTTCTTTATTTTTTTTAAATTCGTCTTTTAAGTTTTCCGAAATTCACTGAGCTTTTCTTTCTTTCTTTTCCTCTTATTGATTTTAAATTCGTATTTCTTTCTTTTCCGCAATTCATTATTTCTTTTCTTTCTTTCTTTTCCAAAATTTTTTCTTTCTTTCTTTCCTTTCCCTTATTGTCTTTTAAATTCGTCTTTTCTTTCTTTTCCGCAAAAAACGAACTTTCTTTCAAATCTTTCTTTCTTTCTTCCTTTCTTTTTCCTCTTAAAATTCGTCTTTAATATTATCTTTTTTTTTTCTTTTTTTTTACTTTCTTTCTTTCTTTTCCTCTTATTGTCTTTTAAACACGAATTTATTTTTTTCCGCAATTCTTTTCTTTCTTTATATTTCTTTTCTTTTCTTTCTTTCTTTCTTTTCCTCTTAAAATTGTCTTTTAATTTTTTTCCGCAATTTTACGTTGAAATTTCTTTTCACCGACAAAATTTCTTTTCCTCTTACTGTCTTTAAATTCGTCTTTATTTTTTTTCCGACACTTTCTTTCTTTTCTTTCTGTCCATTAGTCTTTTAGATTGAAAGAATTTTTCTTTTTCTTTCTTTCTTTCTTTCAGTTTTCTTTATTCAATTTCTTTTCAGCCTCTTACTGAATTTAAATTCGTCAGATTTTTGAGGTTTTTCTTTCTTTCCTTTTCTTTCTTTCTTTTTCCTCTTATTGTCTTTAAATGTCTTTATTTTTTCCGGGGCCCGAAACTTTCTTTCACTTTCTTTTCTTTTTTTTTCCTCAATGTGTTAAATTCGTCTTTATTTTTTTCCGCAATTCTTTCTTTCTTTCTTTCTTTTCCTCTTTTGTCTTTAAATTCGTCTTTAGAGATTGTGCGGAAATTTTCTTTCTTTCTTTCTTTCTTTCTTTCGCTTTTCCTCTTATTGGAAATTTCGTTTCAATTCAAACTTTCTTTCTTTCTTTTTTCTTTCTTTTCCTCTTATTGAAATTCGTCTTTAACTTTTCCGAATTCTTTCTTTCTTTCTTTTCTTTCTTTTCCTCTTATTGTCTTTAAATTCGTCTTTATTTCTTTTCCGAATTCTTTCACTTTCTTTCTTTTTCCTTTTCTTTGTTTCTTTTTCTTTCTTTCTTTCTTTCTTTCTTTCTTTCTTTAATTCATTCATTCTTTCTTTCTTTCTTTTAATTTTATCGGCTTTAATTTCATCTTTTTTTTTTACCGCAATTCTTCTTTCTGTCTTTCTTTTTTTCTTTCTTTTCCTCTTATTGTTTTTTTTGTACCGCAATTCTTTTCTTTTTTCTTTTTCTTTTTTTCTTTCTTTTTTCTTTCTTTATTCTTATTTTCTTTAATTGTCTTTATTTCTTTTTCCGCATTTCTTTCTTTTTCCTTTTTCCTCTTATTGTCTTTTAAATTCTTTTTTCTTTCTTTTCCGCAATTTTTCTTTCTTTTTTTTTTTCTTTCTTTTCTTTTTTCCTTTATTGTCTTTAAATTCTTTCATTCTTTTCCGCAATTTTTTCTTTCTTTCTTTCTTTCTTTCTTTCTTTCTTTTCTCTTATTGTCTTTAAATTCGTCTTTATTTCTTTTCCGCAATTCTTTTCTTTCTTTCTTTCTTTCTTTTCTTTCTTTCTTTTCTTTCTTTTTCCTTTATTTTTTCCGTCTTTTTCTTTCTTTTTTTTTTTCTTATTGTCTTTAAATTGTCTTTTCTTTTCCGCAATTCTTTCTTTTTTTCTTTCTTTCTTTTTTTCTTTTCTTTCTTTTCTTTCTTTTCCTCTTATTGTCTTTAAATTCGTCTTTATTTCTTTTCCGCAATTCTTTTCTTTTCTTTCTTTCTTTTCTTTTTTTCTTTCTTTTCTTTATTTCTTTTCTTTCTTTTATTTCTTTTCTTTTTCTTTTTTCTTTCCTCTTATTGTCTTTAAATTCGTCTTTATTTCTTTTCCGCTTTTCTTTTCTTTCTTTCTTTCTTTCTTTCTTTCTTTTTCTTTTTCTTTCTTTCTTTCTTTCCTTTTCCTTTATTGTCTTTAAATTGTTTTTCTTCTTTTCTTTTCTTTCTTTCTTTCTTTCTTTCTTTCTTTTTTTCTTTCTTTTTTTCCTCTTATTGTCAAATTCGTCTTTCTTTCTTTTCCGCAATTCTTTTCTTTTCTTTCTTTTCTTCTTTCTTTCTTTTTTTTTTCCTTTATTGTCTTTAAAATTTCTTTTTTCTTTTCCGCAATTCTTTTTTCTTTTTTCTTTCTTTTTGTCTTTTAAAATTCGTCTTTATTTTTTTTCCTTTCCGCTCTTTCTTTCTTTCTTTCTTTTCCTTCTTATTTCTTTTCCGCAATTCTTTTCTTTCTTTTTTCTTTCTTTCTTTCTTTTCCTCTTATTGTCTTTAAATTCGTCTTTATTTCTTTTCCGCAATTCTTTCTTTCTTTCTTTCTTTCTTTCTTTCTTTCTTTCTTTCTTTCTTTTCCTCTTATTGTCTTTAAATTCGTCTTTATTTCTTTTCCGCAATTCTTTCTTTCTTTCTTTCTTTCTTTCTTTCTTTCTTTCTTTCTTTTCCTCTTATTGTCTTTAAAATTCTTTTTTTCCCTTTCTTTCTTTCTTTTTTTCTTTCTTTCTTTCTTTTCCTCTTATTGTCTTTAAATTTCTTTTTTCTTTTCCGCAATTCTTTCTTTTTTCTTTCTTTCTTTTCTTTTTTCTTTCTTTTATTGTCTTTTTTAAATTCGTCTTTATTTCTTTTCCGCAATTCTTTCTTTCTTTCTTTCTTTCTTTCTTTCTTTCTTTTCCTCTTATTGTCTTTAAATTCGTCTTTATTTCTTTTCCGCAATTCTTTCTTTCTTTCTTTCTTTTCCTCTTATTGTCTTTAAATTCGTCTTTATTTCTTTTCCGCAATTCTTTCTTTTTCTTTTCCTTTTTCCTCTTAATTCTTTCTTTATTTCTTTTCCGCAATTCTTTTTCTTTCTTTCTTTCTTTTTTTTTCTTTCTTTTTTTTTTCTTTTCCTCTTATTGTCTTTAAATTGTCTTTATTTCTTTTCCGCAATTCTTTTCTTTCTTTCTTTTTTTTCTTTCTTTTCTTTCTTTCTTTCCCTCTTATTGTCTTTTAAATTCGTCTTTATTTCTTTCCTTCGCAATTCTTTCTTTCTTTTTTCTTTCTTTCTTTTCCTTTCTTTCTTTTCCTTTTAAATTCGTCTTTATTTCTTTTCCGCAATTCTTTCTTTCTTTCTTTCTTTTTCTTTTCTTTCTTTTCTTTTTTCATCTTATTGTCTTTTAAATTGTCTTTTCATCTTTTCTTTTTTTCTTTCTTTCTTTTCCTCTTATTGTCTTTAAATTCGTCTTTATTTCTTTTCCGCAGTTCTTTCTTTCTTTCTTTTCATTTTATCGTCTTTAATTTCATCTTTCTTTTTTCCGCAATTCTTCGTTCTTTCTTTCTTTCTTTCTTTCTTTCTTTCTTTCTTTTTTAATTTGTCTTTATTTCTTCTCCGCAATTCTTTCTTTCTTTCTTTTACGTTTATTTTAATCTTTCTTTTTTCTCATCATACTGTAGAGTGCAAATGCAGATCCACTAGGGTAGTATACCAGGCAACCATTACCCCTAAAGAAAATACGACAAACCATAATATTTAAATCGGCATTTCTGCAGGAGAATTTCAAAAGAGAATCAATACACATAGGCATTCATTCGACAATCCAAAATTAAAATACCAATCAGCCCTTTCGAAAAACGTCTAGGTTTCGCTAACATCCCCAGTAGTTTTAGAGATAGGTGCAAGCTATATCTGGAAGAAAAAAATCAGAAGAATAAAATATAAAGATCAATGCAAACTATTAAATCAACGGAGAGAATTAATCACGAAATGTAGACATAGAAATAGATTCCAACTTACATAAGAATACATGTGTATATATGTGGGGAGTGTATGCGTACGTACAGTTGCATATATGTATGATCAGGTAAATGCACACATACGTGTATGTATTGGACAGCACGAGTTATTCCATTGGGTGCTCTGGTATTATCCACAATCTATAAATCTATAACTAAAGTAATTTACATTAATCCTAATGGACTTAAGTTCAAATCCCGCATCACTCTACAGTACAAAAACTATTTGCTGTGAATCCCAGAAAAACACACGCCGGGACCTTTATTATATAGTAGGAACTGGTATTAAACTAACAAAAGTTCTAGCCATAAACAAACCCCGAACACAGACCGCTTCACCCGAGATAAGATATCTTACGCCCCCACCAATCGCTAACGCAAACCCACTCTTATTAATAAGGCGCCAACCAGAGACTGGTTTTGAAAAATACATAATAAGCGCCCGAAGACAAGTACTTAGTGGCTGATGAAAACCGTTAAGGGACGGTTTGAAATAATCTAGTCCGATGTTGAGGTAATTTTTTTTTTTACTGTAATATATATATATATATATATATATATATATATATATGAGAAAAAAAGATCTCGAAAATTTTTGGTAGGTAGCCTGCTAGGCCCTTCGTGGTATGACTGTTATACTAGAGAAAAATACTGGGGGAGAATTCGAAAGATTACTCAGCATTTCTTATCATTCCACCAATGTGGTATACCAGAAAAGTCTTGAAATAGATTGCAGTTGTAGGCATTATTTCATCATACACAGGCTACCTTAGACAAGATTCGAACTCAGTTTGCTGTTTCCCTTTTACGATAACCTTTACATCAACTTGACACCCTACACACAAAATGTATACACACATAAAATATGTAAACACATTCATTTTTTTTTTTAGCTGTGGAAGTTAAAACGTATGAAAAATCCACTCTTTCTTCAGATATACAATGTAGAACCGAGATACATATTTATAAAACATTGCATAGTATTAAACTCATTAAAAGATTGTAATATATTTGTATACATTTGTTTTCAAGTACCTGTACTTGTGCCGGCATTCACCCGGTGTAGGTTGAGCCGTCTCCAATATTGGAGTTTCATGGGAATTTGGAATTCACAAGTGGTCTCCACCCGCATTTATATAGCACATGAGATTTGATTTTAGTGGTGAAGGTTTCGTGCTGGACCATCCACACTTTTTGAAGGGCCGATTATAGAGACCTGGTGCACTACGTGCCACAAGAACCCCAAACGACCCTCCGCAGGTTTTGAATTTTGAGTTTTCCTTCTCCTAGATCAGTTGCCATCTAAGGCTATAGAACCCAGTCTGTCCTGCTATTTACCCATAGCTGGAGGGAGAAGAAGAGGATTCACACCTTTCCCAAGGGTATTAGCAGGTAAGTGAATGTAATGGTTTCGACTGGAATTCGAACTCGGTTCTCCGATTCCTCAATCAAGCCGCTATCCATTCCTCCTGGAGGAGGCACGGTGGAGTATTTCAAGTGAAGAAAACTTGCTTTTTGCTTTGAAAATCAGCACTGAAAACCCTTTTACCTCAGCTTGAACAATAATGTCAATGAGGCATCTTAAAGCAAATCATAAAACCAGATATAATGTTACAAGTATTTACTAAATTTGACTTAGTCTGATACAAGGCCTCAAATGTGGAGCAACCACCAAAAGATAGAACTTTCTATTTTCTCTAATGACTTACTTGACTTGATTAAAAAATTACACCAAATCAAGGCGATAATGTCACTAAGATGCAAGCGTAAGACAACTTTAATGAGGAGAAAAAAAGAATACAATTCAGGAAGACGGAAGATGGCAATTGCCGTTGCATTAAATTTTTTGAAAATCGTGTCAGAGAAGCTTGAAAGCGAAAGAGAGTTCCACGGGCGAGAAGTGCATGAAAAGAATCTATTAGAACAGAAATTACAGTTACATCAGTAAAACGATGAGACCTAATTGCCACTCAAGTAGTACGCTTAAATTCATGTGGTCGAGGTACCAAGGAGGAAAGCTCATTAGAACGACTGTCATGATTGCTAATTAGTCCACGACGAGGTAGTTGACCGATCCTTTCATATGTCAAATTAGTTCTTGATAGTGAAAATGTTACTGAGAACGCACT